CGCTAAAGTTTCGTCGGAACGAATTTACGGAAAATTAACTAACGAACGGAGACGTAACAATATGTTAGAAATTGAACGACAAAATGGGAGATCATTTTAGTGTATTCAGGTCCAAAAAGAAAAGTTTTTAACCACATTGCCAAATAACTGGTTTGTATACCAGACAGCCTAGCTAAGGTTGTGGAAGTTCAATTACACCAGGTAGTACTCAATAAGTACACAACGAAGCCGTTAGAAATCACCAGTCTACTGCCCATGGACTTGAAACAACTGGTGTGATTATCATTGATCAATTAGTTGAGAACAAACATCATGGCCCCAGTTAAGGTCAAGAGACTTGTTTAGCACAGCTGTTGACTGTACAGAATAGCACTTTAGAGAACTCCAGAACTGGTAGCAATTCCAGTTAGGTGCCTTTACTCGTTATAGATGAACCATGTTTTTACCAGTGATTCATGGGTTAGTGTCTGGAGAGACAGGTGTGAATTGTATGCATAGTGAAAGAATGTTGAATATGGCCTTTGTAGTGATGAATTACTTTTGGGGAGGATAGGCATTAGTGTACATTTTCAAACTGAATATATTGTGCTTCCGTGGGAATAGATTTGCTGCTTAAGACGTTAAAAATATGCTTATTACATTTTTGAATCTTATATTCGTTGTCTAGTGCCTTAAATTTTTTAAGAATTACAAGAAGCAGAACGATTCTTTAGTGTGCAAACAGATGCGTGTTTTCACAGCTAACCATAGTTTTGCATGTTCTCTATAAGATTTGGCGTATTTCCTTTTGGTAATTATCATTTATGACTGTTTTACACAGCTAATTATCGTTTTACGCATTTTCCGTTTCATTTTGCAGGTTTTCTATACCTAACTAACGTTTTAACTTTTATTCTGATAACTATAGTTCTACATCCTTTCACATGTTTTCCACGGTTAACTGCCGATTTCAGTGATATATATGGCTAACTATTATTTTGTATGTTTAGAGCTATTTTTCTTTTCTAAAAGCTGTTTTCGTTTTTCTTCTTTTTTAAAAGCTATTTTTCGTTTTTAGTATCTTCTCTAAGTAACGAGTTTGATGTTTTTAATATATTGTATGTTTTCCATAGCTATTCAACGTTTTGCGTATTTTCTGTAGCAAATTATCATTTTAGTGTTTTCTGCATGATTTAGCATGATTTCTACTGGTATTTATATTTTTGGGTATATTTCACAGTTAACCATCATTTTCCATCTGTTCTCTTCCTAAATACGGTTTATGTTTTCTATATGATTTAGTAGGTTCTTTACAGCAAACTATTTTTTATGTGATTTCTATGTCTGTCTAGCTATTGTTTTACGTATTTTCGAAATCTTCGGAATGTTTTACAACACTATTTATATAAGCCAGAAGATACACCAACAGTTTTTATGGTGTTGTACAGAACTATTACAAGCTCATGAAGAACGATTACAATTATATCGTCTTAAATATATATGTATATATATTGACGTGTCTTCACACAGCTGTGTGTCTTTTTGCGAATGCAATTGATCCACTCATTTTGGACTCTTGTACAATAATACTCAGTGCCATACACCCAGGATTGTAATGGCCTACCTTGATTAGAAAGAAAAAAAACCATTGAGGTCATGGATTGGTAAGTAAGAAATTCTGACGTAACCACATATAACGCCCCTGGGACTTCTTTGAAGATTATGTATTTCAACGCCTTAGACCATCATACGAAGCCAAAGATCTTGGTCTTTCTACTGGCCGAGAAATAACTTTACGATCTTTCATAATATCGTCCGCCTACTGATCAGAGATATGACTTGTAATTTCAGAGGGTGTATCAATACAGGAAGGTTTACATTCGCAACTGAGTATATCATTTGCCAAATGGGATCTTTAGACAAATTTAGTTAACCTTAACTAACCTTTTTCGATTTTAAGTTACTTATGCTCAATTGCTTGCATCTGATAATACATTTTATTATAGAAACTGTTTCATTAACTGTATTTAGTGAATAAATGGTGCTTCTAAATTATACTTTAAATTCAACTCTGTTGTTTATTTCATTAAAGAATAGTTTAACTTTAAACTTTTTTTTTCAGTAATATAGTTTAACAGCTTTCATATCCGAATGCTTAGGTGATAAGAGCTGTTATTAAAGATGAAAATTAAAGTTCCGTACAATTTTTACTTGGGTTTTTCATTAATGAAATAATAATACGAATATCATATATATAATCTTAATTCTTTGAACATGCAACTAAAATACACCATTGGATTTATTTATTTAATCTTTAACGATGTAGTGTCAATGCGATGTGATTCTATAAGTTTTACAAAGCGTTAAAGGGAGATTTAGCTTGGTGACCTTTTGTGATTTCTATTCCTTAAAAAACCATTGCTTATATATTAAACTATAATATAAACCAACTTCAACCTTATAACAGTTTTTTTTTCTATTCAGGTCAAGTGATAAACCATCGAATGCTACAGATTTATCAGGTTTTTTATCTGTTAAATTGGCAGTTGTAGGCTACAATACAAACGTGACATCAGCGTGCAAAGAAAGATTCCGTGACTGTGTACACAACAAGGAAAAACGAAATGAAGGAAAAGGAATGCTGTACAACTTCGATCCAAATACTGAAAAGCAGTCGTTTTTTATTCCATCATTTATTGTAAAGTTAAAAAACATGTTACAGTTGTGGCGCTTACAAACACATAAATAGCTTTTGTTCTATACAGAAGTAAATGGAGTACTATATTGTATTTGTTTAACATGATACACATACCTGGAGTGATTTCACAATATAGTAACTATGCAGTATATAAAAAATTTTAAAGCAGTAAATCTGTTAAATTTCAATTCGGTGTTATCAGACTTGTAAAGAATTTGTTGTAAATCATCTCACTGCGAAGAAAATACAAAATATAAAAATTTGAGAAAACCAATAGGAATCTATATCTAATTATTGCAACACGTACAAACCCATTTTCTGTTTCTCATATTTGACATGATGTGATCTACCCATGGCATTACCACTGGTTAAAAGTAGGTAGATAAATAGAGAAAGAAGGTTAGATAATAAGTTAAGGTTAAATTGAAAACTTTCATGTGATGGAAGTAGTCATATTTTTAAGGCTTGAGTTCTATATTTATTATATAAAAACAACTATAGCCTTTAACAACAAAAATCACCATATAGAGGTATCAGTGGCCAAACAACTGACAAATTTAAGATACTCAACCATTTGATTTTACTTATAAAATTTAAGCTAAACCTCTAAATATTGAAAATTATTTGAAAGCTTATTCTAGAAAAATTAACTTGTTAATTGAAGAAATATAAGCTTCAGAGCTGAGCCATATCATAACATAATGTTTAGGGACAACAAGGGTCCTATTTATGCATCTAGCCTGTTCCATCTTCTAAACTAAACTAAAACTATTAAATAATAAAAAAAATTCTCAAAGCCAACCCTAATCATTCATACAGTTATCAAGCTCTCTCTTAAACTTACTTAAATTTACTGCCTCTACAACATCAAAAGGCAACCTGTTCAAAAGGCCAACCACCTATTAGAAAAATAAAACTTTTTTAGCTGAATATGACTCCTTTCCTGCTAAAATGTATGTTTGTGTCCCCTAGTCCTACCATTCTCACCATTAAGTATGAAAAAAGATGATGCATCAATACTATCAATTCTCTTAACAATCTTAAACACCTAAATCAGAGCTATTCTGACTCTTCTTTTTTTCAAAAGAAAATAATTTCAGAGATCTTAACCTCTCCTCGTATGACAACCCATCCATCCCAGGCCCCATTCTAGTAGCCCTCTTCTGAACTCTAAACAATGCAATGTCCTTCTTAAGGTAAGGAGCCCTAGAATGAACACAATACTCCAAAGGAGGCATAACCAGTGACCTATACAATGAAATTATAACTTGTTTAGACTTGTATTCAATATTTCTGTAGATATAACATAAAATCCTTTTTGCTCTTCCTCAAGCAACAGCACACTGTTTGGATGGCTTAAGAGACTGATCAACTATTACACCAAGATATTTTGTTTCATAACACTGTTAAGGTTATTCCCATTCAAATTATGATAACCCACATGCATTATCTTGCATTTATTATAATTAAAACCCATCAGCTATTTAGTTGGCCAACTCACCAATTGATTTAAATCCTTTTGTAAAGCAGAGCATCCTCATCACAGTCAGCAACACCAAATACCTTAATATCATTAGCAAATTTAAGTAATTTATTGACCATTCCTTCATATATACCACTGATGTAAACTGAACAGAGCAAAGGTCCTAAGACTGAGCCCTGAGGTACCCCACTTGTGACATTAATCCAGTTTGACTGAACTCCATTTGTAATAACCCTTTGCTTTCTTCCATCCAGCCACTCTTCTATCCAATTTGCTAACTTATCCCCCACTCCTATAGAGATAATTTTGTACAATCTGTTTATGTGGCGTCTTGTCAGATACTTTCTGAAAATACAAATACACCAAATGTACACCATTACCCTCATCTGCATAAGCAGTAACCTTTTCAAAGAATGTCAAAAGATGTAAGGTAAGATTTTCCCTGAGTTAAACCATGTTGACTATTCAATAAAATTCTAAGCATTGTTAAATGACTTTGCAAAGCATCTTTTATCAGACTTTCCAAAACTTTTCCCTCAATGTAAGACTAATAGGTCTATAATTACTGGAACACTTTTATCACCTCCTTTGAAAAGGGGAGTAACATTAGACAACTTCCAATACCCTGGCAACTCCCCCACTATCCAAGGAATTACAAAAAATAGTAGCAGGTGGCTTACATATCGAATCTGTAACCTCCTTCAAAACCCTTGTGGAACTATCTGGCCCAGAAGGTTTATCGCTCTTCAAACTTCCCAATTTTTTCTTAACAAGCTCAGAATTAATGTGATCATCTTGTTCGATCTTGTTTCTTTTAAAGTTATAAATCGATTTAAAACATTTTTCATTAACATAATACCAGAAGTTTATTATTTTGCAGATTATGCGTCAAACTATAGGTATTGTAGCTGTTCTCCAACTGTAGTGTTAAGAATAGATATATATATATCAGAGAGGGGGGAAATACATACATGGTCATATCTAAGATGTTTCAAAAGTTTATTTTGTCAGGCCCTTTGGTTGTCAAGAGGGCTAAAGTACAAACATGTTTTTAGCTCTAGGAAAGGCCGTTTTGGTCGGTTGCTAATAGACATTTTTAGACTGAGAGAAAGAGAGACTTTTTTTTTTGTCGCCGTTGATTATTAATGTTATTTGGTGGTTATTAGTGTTTAAGATTTGACTTTAAAACATTTTCTTTTTCCCCTGTCTGTTTTAAAACACAACAAACAATACTCCCGTGCATCGCAGTTATCAGCTCTTTACTTATAATTGCTTATTTGAGATATCAAATTTAAAAAAATAGAAAGCCAATGTTGAGATTATTTATATGTATATTTTAAACTGGCATGTCGCGGTAGCTTTTTTTTCTTTTTACTTTACTATACGGGAAGAGAGAAATTAAATCAAAGAGATCAAAGAAAAAATTTATAGATTTTATTGAAACTAAAAATGAAAACAGTACAAGACGATGCTTTGGTTAAATATTGTAAGAATGATATAAACATTTGTAAGGAGTGGGTTACTAGAATGAAGTAAGAAATTTTACCCGATTAGCTGGCAAGAATCGAGTTTAAGTCTTTCTTGGTAATTTGTAAAATATTTCAATAAGACAAAAGTTCAGAAATTTATTGTAAATGACTTAATACATTAAAGATTTTAATTAAAATAGTAAACAAGTTTAAGGTCAGCTACACTTTACAAACTAAAATGTAAGTGTTGATGTAAATAATATTTTGTGAGTATTCTTAAAATAGAATTGAGATGTAAATTAAACAGAAAATTGGGAAGGAAGGAAGAAACTATCTTGAATTAAATGAGAAAAATCGGTTATGCAGATACCTTCAACTCATTTCTTGATTAAAGTATTCAATTTATTGTTATAACTTTCCGATGCCTAAATTGTTATGATGCGCATTTGCTTATTAACGAATTCGAGGATTGAGAGGTTAAAAATTACAATGAAGTAGGAAAGAATGGCAGATGCATTTTCTTGATACATAATTATAAATCCATTAGTAGGCATGGTAAGGGTGTTTCAAATACTTTTTTTTTCCTATTCGGTAGGTTTTTGTTTTTGTGTTGTTGTTTTTTTTTTGCATTTTATTAATTACACAACTGAGATCTTTCTAAGTATAGTCATTATGGATTTTTGTTTGTTGAGAACATTTTTATCATTGTATTTCTAATTACTTTGCCATTTATCTTAATAAATAATGCAGCTAGGTATTTTCATCATTCATGAAATTGGTAACCTTTAGTATTGTACTTATAATAACAGTAATAAGACTAATTTTGTCTTAAAAACGTCAAATTCCACCAAAAATTACAATTAGAATAAATACACTTATCTGCAAATGTTGATCAAATCGATTTTTATTTTTACTTTTCGTCATAATCATTCAGTTCTTATTGTCGTGTTCAAGTGTAGTAGCAGATAAAAGTTAAATTATCAATTTAAATGCATTGAAAACAAAACTATGTCGGTATAATGTCTATCTCATTTCGAAAAGTTGGCATCTATGTATTTAAACTGAAATGTTTATTAAACTCAAAGCTACACAATGGTCTATCTGTGCTGTACTCTTTGAGAGTATCGAAATGCTATTTTTAGCGTTTTAAACACTCAAACTTACTACTGAGCCACCAGAGGGCAAAGTATTTAAATAAAATTCTTATTTTGATGGAGCAGTAAAATCAAAATATTGATACACAAATGTATTTGAAGTACGTGTTGCGTCATCGAGATCACGTGACTATTCTCACGCCCTCTACTTTCTAGAACTATCCTGTACTTTGG